TCAAAAGTTTATAAAATAGTATATTTCATTCATTGGCCATTTTAAACAATACCATCGTTAACTATTCAGGGCAGGGCACTGTCTCTGGGACCTGCCCCTCAGTAGCACCTGGTGGCTGGTCAGAAATGCAGTTCCTCAGCCTCCACTCGAGGCCAGAATCTGTGCTTCACAGTGCTCAGGTGACCCGGTGAGCGCAGAAGCCTGACGCGCACCGTGGTCAGGAATACTTAGGGGACATGTCCCAGGTCTTCCACACCCTCTAGGTCCTACCTTCTCAGCACAGAGTAACTGGTGATTGCAGTAGACCATGACGTCCCCTCTCATGCTGACTAGTCATCTTCTTCCATTTACAGACCCCTGAAAGGCACGTTCTCAGATTTCCGGCTTCCATTCCTTTCAGCCACTCGTGTAGCTTTAGCCAACTACTCACCTCTTAGAGCCCTGCGTTGAGTGCCCCTTCTGGCACTGCTTTTTCTGCCTTCTTCCTCATAGTCTGGCTGATTCAGAAGCACCACTCTTCTCCACCAAGTCAACTTCTGTGAGTCCCTGTGGTGTGACGAAACTGCTCGGCCCCCAACATTTCTGCCATAAGCACACGCCCTTCCATGGTCTCCTTTATTGGCTTTTTCTCAAATGCAGGGAACACCTGGACACAGTTTTCTCCAGAGGGAATGTGTTGTTTCGGGCTTGACGGTTATCGCAGCATTTTCTATCCTGATGGCATCTTCATGGAACCGTCCTTCCACACATTCACAATGTCCCCTCTGACAGGTTCTGTTCCCTGGTGCTGCGACCCCTTTTCATAGAGTACTGTGTATAAAGAGCCTTTAAGGTCCTTGTGAGCCCCGATCTAGAGGATGCATTAGAGAAGTCGTGGCTGGTGGCAAACAGAGCACTCCGTCACCTTCAGTGTCGAACTCAAGAACATCCAGGGCGACTTGCTGCCCAAAATCCAAAAGACTCTAAACAGCAGTTCCTCACAGGCAAGGGACTTACTGAATTCAGGGACGAAGCATTGGTAGAACCAGTCCAGAAAAGCGGTTCTTGTTGTCCAGGCCATCCTAATGTACAACTGAAAGAGCAGCAGCTGGATTTGCCTTTCCTCCAATAGGGTCAGATGTTAGTAGCTTCCCAGGCCAGGACAGTCCTGACCAGGAACCCGACTGCATGTGCAAAGAGCAGGAGGGTCAGCATAGCCCTCCCAGCCTTAAATCCTGCTGCTGCTTCTCCTCCTTACTAACAAATACCCTTTGGAGCATTTTATTATTATTATTTTTTTTTTTTTTTTTGAGAATAGGGCACATTTTTGTGTATTGAAAACCTATTCAATGAGATGCCCTTTCTCGCCAGTGATGTCCTTAATGCTGTCTGGAAACTCATCTGCTGCCTCCTGGTTGCAGAAGCTGCTTCTCCTGTGATCTTGACATTTTTTAAGCCAAGTCACTTTCTAAAATTATCAAACCATCTTTTGCAGGCATTAATTTTTCCAGCTGTAGATCCTTCATCCTCCTTTTGCTTTAAGTTTTTAATCAATGACTTCGCAACCTGGAATCATATGAGAGTCTGTAGCTAAGCCTTTCTTACAGCTACTCTGCACCCACATACAAGCTGTACTTCCAATATGACGTAAAAAGGCACTGGGCAAAACCTTCAAGGCTTTAGTGCCTGCTGGTACAACAATGGCAGTGGCTCCATGAATTTCCTTCTCCTTTCTATAATGCTCTTTACACCAGGCTCATTTATCCTGACACCTCGGTTTCTGGTGCACATGGAGCATTCCGCTTGTTCTCACCATGTCATGACTTTTCACTGCTTCTCGAGAGCACCTCCAGCATCACTAGGGCACATTATGGGGGTCCCATGGGGTTCTTCAAAGATTACAGTATTGCACTAAACACGAGGGAAAAAATCCCAGAACCATGAAAGTTCACTTTTTACTGAGATTTACAATTGACTGGAGAGATGATTGCCCATGAGGAGATGATTAGTGTCACAAGATGTTTTAAGCTGACATGCTTGAGGTCACCAAGCTAGTAACAGAAGGTGGCTGTGAAGTCCTCACAGTGGTACATACAGACTACAGTTAATTTTATGCAGCTAATGATTTAATGCCACATCTTTACATTTGTATGTACATCTCTCAGCTGCAAACAGCACCTTCTATGATCCGTGTGTACATAATTTGTGATAAACTTTACCTTTCTGAAACAGATTTGTACGTATTTTATGGTAGCAAATGATAAAACAGACTAACATATAATATATATTTTATGCATTAATGACATATCTAACTTTTCCAGGCTATGCAGTTTGTCAATGCTTTTTTAAAAAACTGTCACAAATCTCCAAAAAAATTTCCAATTTATTATTAAGAAAAATCCACATAAAAGCGATGCCCACAGTTCAAAACCATATTGTTCAAGGGCCAACTGTGCAGGAGAAACCTGCGGGTACCCAGGGTTTTACATCATTCAGGCTGGTGCCAGAGGAGCACTGTCCACGGGAAACACCGGAAAATGGGAAGTCTTAACAGGCGGCCTAGAATCCAGGCCTGCACACCGTCTGCAGCTGAAGACAGAAGAGAGGAGGGCGGAGGGAAGACCAGTCTCAGGGAGGTGAGTCAGAAAAGTACAGTAGCGCGGCTGCACATTTACTAAAATTGGAAGGAGAAGAGTACGGTGGAGCAGAGTAGGGTTTGTTCCGCCTTCAGATTTCAGCCGGTGCCTTCTCTGTGGGCGAGAGTCTCCAATTTAGTCCTTATCTTCCTAGCATGGAGAGGGAGACAGCCTTACCAGGGAGATTTCCTTCACAGATGTAAATTTCCTTTACAAAAGGGTAATTTCTACTCCGTTTTTAGAGCTTCTCTTGTGTCTGCTGTTTCTGAAAATAATCAGCTCAGAACAGCCTTTATGGTTAAAGTGGCACATTTTGGGGGTGGCATATTTGGGGGCTACACATTCTCGTCTCCTGCACACTCTGGGTGGAATTTGTCCTGGTTTGACGTATCATGTTGTCTCTTGAGTGTCCTCTAGTAAGGCCTGTTCTCCTCTGAAGCAACAATGCCACATCACACAAATGACCTGGAATGATCTCACACTTCCACATGCCCTGTTTGTGACGTCAGTGGTGTTGAGCCTGCCCACACAGCGTTCACAGAGTCACAGAGCGGGCTGTAGGTAGCATTCTAGCTGGGCCTTAACCTGGGTGTGCTAGTGCACTCCTGGCTGCTACCTTGCAGCACTAACTAACCCAGAGGCATGTAGCATGCTGACCACTTGCTCCCCCATTATTCCTATAGATGGAATCTCTAGTGCCAGAATCATAAGATCTTTTTGTTCATGAATTGCTTAAGGTGCATTTTAGATCCTGAATTCCAGTAGAGTGACTGAGGTGAACCAGCCTGAAGACCCCTCTTACAAGGAAACCAGCTCAACACAGGAATGTGGTCTCTCCACCTCTGCTGTCCCCGGACTTCACCCCTCCCTCTCGACCAATCAAGGATCCCCACATTTCACCCCATCAGTCCATACCCCTCATAACCCCTAACCCCAAACCTCTTGGGGAGGTGGACTGAGGTTCCCCCATCTCTTCCTTGGGCTTCTTGTGACTATTGATTATGGTCCCAGTGTCACAGTTTACAGGCTCACTGTGCATCGGGAGGTGAGCGTTACAGTTACAGTGACATCAGCGTGTGTCCAACCTTCATATTAATTCTCATTCTGGATCACATAAGTATTGCAGAAGCTTAGATTTAACTCACTTTCTCCAGTTTCTTACTTTTCTTCCCATTTCTCAAACTCTTTCCCCGTCCCCAGGTGCCCAGGCCACGTGCAGCAGAGCCTCCCCCTCTAAACTGCCTGCTGCTTCATCTGCCCTCTGTTTAGAGACAGCCGTGTGGCTTCTACTTTGTCATTGTCCCTGGAAATTATCCTTCTTTTCTTTATAAGCTCATCTATGATTTTGGAAATTCTTTACATGTTATTTAGTTATTTTCCCAGGAGCATTTCCTATTATCCTTGGCTTCCGTGTTGCTGGTCCCAGAAGTGCCTGACACTCTGAGGGCCTCAGTAGCCAGGACTGCCTGTGCTTTTGCGAAATGCAAATAAAGGCTAGTATTTAAATTAGATAGTTGTAAGGACATAACCACTTCTGGAGTAAGTCGGTTTTAAAATTTTAGAATATTATTTCTCACGATGTTCACAAATCCAACTTGGTTATCTTCCTTCCTACTGGGTGCCCGACCTCCTGTCTGTGGGAGGGAAATAACACTACACAATCATCTCCATCATCTCGTGTCTTCTGTCCCACACAGTCCAAATTAATCTGGTCATACCCGTGACCATTTAGATTAGAGAATCAACGACTGAGGGAAACATATTAATAGTTTCAAGTAACAAAAGGATAACCATGCTGGCCAAGGAGAAGCATTTGGGAATGGGCTGTAGTACAGAGGGAAGGAAGACGACCTAAGTGTCCTTCACACTAAGGATACTGTTGACATTGTAATGTGTCGACAGAGCCCGCAGATGACCAAAATTACCTCTGAACTTATCTCTCTACTTTTTAGAATTACATCATCAGAAATATAATTAACAACAAGCCTTTTACGAAAATAAGAAATAAAAGAAAGGCAAAGTGTGAGGGGACACGCAGGGGCCTTAATCGTACATCCGACCCAAGCACAGCTTATCACATGTCCCCACTCCTCCCAGATTCTCAGGAAAAAAGCTAAATACTGTTACCATCATCTGATCCTTCTCTAACCATCATTCACAGTCAATCTCAGGAGGAAAATCTGGCTTTATAGTACTTATTACACATGTATCATCTTAAATACTTCATCCAAGTGCTCTGTTTGGACATACGTCTCGCGTAGTGACATAGAGACTCCCATCCAATCCTTATCAGAGCTCAGTGTGTCCACACCAGGCCATTCTGCATGGAGACCTGCCTGAGCAAACACGAGGCTCTGACAGGCAGAGCCCAGGGGCTGTGATTACCTGGACCTGCCGCTCGTGGGGGATCACTCCTGCTCTCGGTGTCCAGAATCACCGCCAGCCCCACTGAGTCTGCTGGGAGGAGGGAGCTGCTGAGGTCCACACGAGTTAAGCTCTGGGGCTCCCTGCCAGGGCCCCCAGTGGTGCTTCTGGGGCCGTCTCCTCCAGTTGCAGCCATTTCGTGGCCTTTTCTCCATGGTTTCTGCACAATGTGAACGATGCTCTGCTGATCCAGGTCACAGTTCTATTTGGGAACAAGGTAAAAAACATAAGAAAATGGCAAACATCAAATGACAAATAGTGCTTAAATTGTTCTAGAATGTGCTAAATTGTCTACAGTGTGTGTACGATTTTTACAAGTAGTAGTGACACTGTAACTGGTCAGCACAGGCACACGAGCCTCCCAGGGGACCCAGCACCGACACGCCCTGCACGTCAGACAAACAGCCTGACAGGCCAGAGCCGGACATGTGGGGGCGAGGGGGCCATGACCATGACCGAGAAACAAATAAACGACAACAACTGAAACCTTGAAGAACTTGAAGTAATTTAAAGGAACATGAAACCCAGTAGGAAGGAAGATAACCAAGTTGGATTTGTGAACATTGTGAGAAATAATATTCTAAAATTTTAAAACCGATTTACTCCAGAAGTGGTTATGTCCTTACAACTATCTAATTTAAATACTAGCCTTCATTTGCATTTTGCAAAAGCACAGGCAGTTAGTTATTATCAGTCACAGGGCACTTCTCTACGGAATATAAAAGTGTACTCCCGGCAGTTCCACCACCACTAGCCGCCCGGCACAACAAGCGGGGAAGCAGGCAAAGCACCTTCAGCCGAGCTGCCCGGGCTCTGACTGGGTCCTAGTTCCAGAACGTCTGCTAAACAGAAACAATTGCTCATCTGCCCGCAGCCCTCTTCACTCAGAGCCAGGACCTTAGTCCCTCAAAAAATCTGTCTGCAGAGCATTTCTTTTTTTTTTTTTTTTTTTTTGAGACAGAGCCTCAAGCTATCCCCCTGGGCAGAGTGCCGTGGCATTACAGCTCACAGCAACCTCCAACTCCTGGGCTCAAGCGAGTCTCCTGCCTCTGCCTCCCAAGTAGCTGGGACCACAGGCACCCGCCACAATGCCCGGCTATTTTTTGGTTGCAGCCATCATTGTTGTTTGGCGAGTCTGGGTTGGGGATTCGAACCCGCCACCTTAGGTGTACGTGGCTGGCGCCTTAGCCGGTTGAGCTATAGGCGCCTGGCCAGCAGAGCATTTCTTGCCGTTCTCTCTGATCTTAGAAGCACTCAGACACTCTCAACCACACGTTCACCAAAATGTGAAATGCAACCACACTGATAACAGTAAATTCTCCCTCCCTTGCTTCTTCCTCAAGTTTTCTCATTGTCATCACTGTCAAAGTCCTTCCAAGGGCAGTGCTGTCCCTCACCAGCACCCCTCTCCCCACACATGACCCCTGGGCATGTGGCCCCTCTGCTCAGGAGGTCCCTGGGATGCCCTTTGCCCTTGAATGCCATTCCTACACCCCCGCCACGCTTCTGTCCCCATCCTCATAGCTTCCAGTGTCCCTCCAGGATGGCTCCCCTCCAGCAGAGGTGACTGTCCAGCATTCTCTGACACTAAGTCCCCCCACCTGACTGCCTGACTTCCCTGGGTCTGTCAAAGCAACCCCCCACCACCAAATAACCCTTCCCACCTAAAAGCCCACTGTGCTCCCGTGTTTTCTATGGGCTCCAACACAGTCACTGTCTGGGAGTCCTCCTCCCTACCCCTATCCCAGCAAGGTGCCAAGAGTCACTGATTCTGCCTCATAAACGCCCTTTGCATTTTCATCTGCTGTATACTTCACCTGTCACCTCCCCATTTTTCGTCATTACAATAGCTTTGTAATTACTCCCTTCACCATGATTTCTCCCTGCTCCGACCCATTACGTGTAAGAACTCTTGGTGTGTGCTATGTGGTCTTTCTGCAGGGTCTCACTCACTATTACTAAATGCACTCCAGCATCTCACTGTCTCCGTCCGGTGTGTCTATACGTTCGCCTTCCTGGATCAACTCTCCTACGATTTTACTTCCTCTACCACTCCTTTACTATACATGTGGTCCATCAGATAGTCTTCAAAACATCCCTGTGCATACATTAATCAGCATAATTATTCTTCCTTCTCCTGCCCTTGATTCTGTGCTCACCAGTGTGACTGGGTTTGGCCAATGAGACATTACCACGTGTGACTGAACCAGGGCCTTGAAAAGTATTGGCCCACTACTAAGGGACCTTAAAAGCTTCTACCTCTTCAGCCTCAGCCCCGGAACTGCACATGTGGTGCAGACCTGAACCCAATCCATGGAGAGGCCCAAGGGTAGCCTCACCCACAGCATGGAGCACAGCCTTCCAGCTGAAGACACGTTGGGCCCATGGTCTTCCCTGAAGACACATGAGAAAAACATGCTTTTAAATTATGGACTGAGACTTGGTGGCTGTTTCTTGAATAATAGTAGAAGACAGGCTTTCACCTTCCATTCTACTTGGACCCACAGACATCCTCTCACTGGTCATCCTCACCCCCACATTCAGGCAGAGAACCAGCCGCTTGCCTAAGTCTTCTCAAACTAACTAATGTCAAGACCTGAGTAAACTCAGAAATGAGCACATGAGGACATGAGCTTTGCCACAAGGAGGAACATAGTTGAGAACTAGCACCCTAAAGTACTGTGTTCTTTCCAAGGCAGCTCCAGAATTCAGGCAGATAAAATTCCTCTCTCCATGATCAGGACATATGATCACATGACCCTCCTAGATAACAAGGATACTCTCCTGACTCATCTGAATCCTAAATTCTTTGCTTGCTGTGCTCTTCTCATTGTTGTGCTGAGAGCCTGAACAGTGTGTGCTTTGTTCACATGTGTGTGTCTTCTCTTCCAACCTAATTTAGAAGTAATTGAGAGCAGCAAGTGGGCCATGTTCATATTTACCAAACGCCTCCCACAGCACTCTGAACCTAGCAGGTGTAGAAATTACATACATGTAAAGTGAATGACAACCAAGAATGAATGAGGGAATGTGAGCCGTCATGAGCCCAGGCCCAAAGCCCTCCAGGGAGGACCAGCAGGACGCAGAGCAACAAGGAATCAAAGTCAAGTAGACTGAAGCCCTACATAATTTATTAGCTGTATGATTTTGGCAAATTATTTTTCCTCCCTAAGCCTGTTTCCATCATTAACAATCACACTGTCAACTTGGAAGCCTGCTCTGTAGATTAAGGAGATGCAGAGAGCGCAGATCCACAATAACAACACCTGGTTGGCTGCACATTATCATCTCTGATGAGCTTTGAAATCTAAAGAGAACGGGCCCTGCCCTTGACATCGACATCGATAAGGCCTCCAAACTCTCATCAGTAAGGCCTGCTCCACTCATACAAGGGAGAATAAGCTGAAGGGATCAATGTGACAATTCCTCTGGTAACATTCCAGCTTTCTATGAACTAAAAATTGGTACCAAAAAAAAAAAAAAAACTGCTCAGCTGCCACAGAACCCAAGAAGAACCTGAATGAATGTTCAGGGGGCAAAAACCCAGCACATGAATATCCTCTCCTCTCAAATCCAGATTTTTGTGATGCTCAGGGCAGAGCTGCAGAGGGAACAGGAAGACCCCAAGCAGCTTTCAGCAGTTAGAGTGATATTTATGGAGCATATTTTCCTTGTTCTCCATACATGGGGCTGAGATCACTGATGGCTGTGTCTTCAGCTCTCACAGAAAATGTCGCCAATCTCAGAAGCAGTCCCCTTGCCAGATGGTGTGTTCACATGCCGTGCCAGTTCAATTCAAAGCCGTATTAATAACTCACCCCATGGACAATAAATTGGATAATGTTTAGTTGTATAGCCACTCCAAAGCACCAAATAAAATGTGCTTCTCACAGTACACAAAGAGATTCCTCAGATTTGGGAGGTGGAGATTCGGGGTGGGAGGGTAAACAGCAGAGTGCTCTGACGGCTTTCAGCTCCCTCGGGGCCAAAACAACATCTTCTTCATCTGTTTCCACAGGAGCCACCTCCGTCTGACAAAGACAAAGCACTTGATACAGGTTTTTCCCTTTTTGTAACAATTTACTAATCCAGCAAGGTAAGGCAGTGACATAAGTTGTTAGTGTGGATAAAATAAGTAGGCACTCATCTAACCCGCCTTGGTCTTAGGCCACCCAACAAAGCCACTGACCCCTCAGGGACTGTGGTCAGTGGCTCTGGCTCTCTCTATGGGACATCTGATCTGAAGATGTATAATTACTCATAAAATATTTTCCCTTTTTTTTTATTAGATCATAACTGTGTACATTACTGCATTTAGGGGGTACAGTGTGCTGATTTCATACATAATTTGGAATGTTTACATCAAACTGGTCAATGTATAATTCACCTCGCTTATTAAGTTGTTGTGTTTAGACATATATACTCTACTATTAATCTATTTGACATGTACACTTGCAATATGCACAGTAGGTGAGGGCCTACCAACTACCCTCCCTCCACCCGTCCCCCCCCCCGCCCTCCTCTTCTCTCCTTCTTTCTGGGCTATAATTGTGTTTTATATGGGAGTTCTTGCCAAATAACGACCAACTCTTATTCAGCTGACAATTAGCCAACAACATACAAAAAATTGATACGTTTTCCTTTTTCTGGAAAGAAATCACTTTCATGATATGTAGGATCCAAATACTTAAAATTTTCCAAACACTTTAATGAAGAGTTAACACAGATTATCTCTAAAATGGTTAACAGTTAGATTCTAAAATAGTTGATAATGCCACATTATTGACAAAGTGTTGCCATTTGTTAAAATAATGATCACATTAGGCCAGGTGTGGTGGCTCACACCGGTAATCCTAGCACTCTGGGAAGCTGAGGTGGGTGGATTGCTTGAGCTCGCGAGTTTGAGACCTGCCTGAGCAAAAGCAATACCCCATCTCTACTAAAAACTATGACATTTGGACATCAAGTATAATATGACTACAGCAAAACTGAGGCAAGAGGATCACTTGAGCCCAAGTTGGAGGTTGCTGTGAGCTATGACACCACAGCACTCTACCCAGGGCAACAGCTTGAGACTCTGTCTCAAAAAAAAAAAAATCATAAAAAAACCCATAATCATCACATTAATAATAAAATAAATCCATAACATCTTTGAATTATATTATATTATAAAGGTTGTAGATGTAAAGAGTTGTTTAATAT